GATCGGGATCACCTTATAGTACGCGTCGCTCGTTGCCCTCACGTAGCGCAGCACGCTGTTGACTTCGGCCAAGTCTGCCATGGTCAACTGTGAGGGAGGCTTCTGAAGCAAGGAAGTGTCCGCCGCGATGTCGCCTCTCGTTGTTCCAGCCATCCACTGGAGACTGCCGATGCCCGAGCGAAATTCCGTGATCATCTCGGGATGGTCGCTCAGCTTCTCTTCCGGTGCCAGGCTGATCTTGGTGATGGGGACCTCGGCGATGTAGCTTGCTTGGTCCACGGTCAGGGTCCAGTCGTCATGCTGCCGTATGTGCCTGCCCACAAAAGTGAAGTCCTTGGATTCCCACTCGTTTCCCCAGGTGAAGGAGCCGTGGATGGCCTCGAGGATTTTCTCCTTGCCGTGGTACGCCGCCATAATCATGTCGTCCACATGGACGCCCAAGACTGCCACGACAGTTAAAGCACCATCAATTTCCTCACGGTACAACCAGAGGCAGGGATCCAAGGTATGAGGAGTCCATCCCAGGCCGCTGAGTGTGCGAGCCACGTGCACATACCATCGTCTCGGCGCGTTGGCTTGTCCGTAGACCGGCGCAGAAAGTTTATAGAGCAAGCTGGGATCATTCCACTCCTCCACCGCCTGCAAAGAGATTGGATCAGCAGGTGCTCTCATAAAGATGGCCTGAGGACGTTCATCATCGGCGGCACCTTGCAAAAATGCACTTTTGCAATCTCCGGTGTGCAGTGGCACCTTCAACGAAGACGCCCATTGTAATATACAATGGAGGCCAACTCTTGACAATACTGGCGAATCTCTGGAAAGGAGCGGTAGATGCGGATCCTTAAATCCTGCAATGACTATCTGTGCCTTAGGTTTATAGGACCCGTCCCCTCGTGCCTTCCATCTGTAGCATACCCTGGACTTCAATATCAATGTCGGATCGATGCGGCTGAGATCGACATGGATGGGCCTGCACGATGACCATTTGCGCCATTCGGTCCATTCGTCCACGACAGCCTGGATGAACTGTGGGACCTCGGCCTCGCTCATCGCTTGCCAGGGGAGCTCCTTTTTCAAAGCTTGCTGCTGAACTCGGGAAGGCGGTTCCTGGGCTCCATCATGGGCGTCGTCGCCCGAGGTATCCATGGCCATCACTTCACCCTCTTCCGGAGGGCGCCACGATCTGGCCGGGTACGCCTCGGCCACGGTCTCGTCCAGCCACCAGGGTCGGCCCTCGGCTGGCTCATCCACGAGCGCTTGCCAGGCCTCGTAGTCGTTGAAAGCCGAGTTGAAGCCCAGTCTCTGAAGTCTTCTCCTCGATGAGCTCGGCGCGTTCGGCAGAGAGCGCGTGGTATAGGCCACGATGCTATAGCGAGTTCCCTTGAAAGGCATAGTCTCGTGAAAGCAGTCTGGCCTGAAGGACAGCACCTGATTCCTGGTGTTCACCAAGAATCCCGGGGTGCTCTTGCCATTGACATCCCTGTACACAGCATCCGCAGGAGGGCAATCTGACGAGCATGCCACCCACAACTCTCCTCCCGTATAGGAGCCAACAGAAGTGACCCAGTTCAAGGACCCAGGGAGGTTGTGAGAGTCCTTGTGGCACTTGGCAATGGCGTTGCGGGAAATGTAAATGGAGGAGGTCTGACCTTGCAGACCATGATACCTCAGATACGCCATGACGTAGGTCGCGAGCTGTCTGTGGACACGGGTGGCCTTGCTGATGCCTGTGAAGCTGCCATGCGAGTACATGCCCAGGAGGAAGCCGCCGCTGGAGTCGTTCAAACATGTCCTCTTGTTAGAGGGGAACTCCACTGCTTCCAGTAGTTGATGTAGAGTGCTAGCTCGGAAATCCCGGGCCTGCAACAATTGCTTGGCGATGTGTTCCGACGGAGGAGTCGGCTTGCGCGGCACGGCACGTGAGGTAGTAGAGGAGGTCGCTCTTGTAGTAGATGTGGTCCACGCACTGGCTTCTTCATCATGGCAGCCAAAGTGGTGGGCTGCCGTCAGGAAGTTCTCGGATTGAAACACAGGTTGGAGCTCACTGGGTGACCCATCCCAGCCGACGCGTAGAGCATCATCTCGTCCGTGTCGATGTAGTACATCCAATCGTCCCGTGGAACTGGAAGGTGGGCACACGTCGTTGTTGACATGAGCCTGATTGAATTCATTCTCAAAGGAATTGGCCTGCACGGTTGAGGAGGCAAGATGGGAGCTGCTCGTTCGATCTTCGAAACACTGCTCCAAGGCTTCTCGCTCTTTCACCTCATCAAACCACGAAACAACATGCATAGGCGAACTCACCGTACGAGTACTCAGACATCTTGAACAGGAGTCAACGCCTTGAACTAGGACTCGGTGTTGTTCACCGCAGTCTCGACAGAAAAGAAGTAGGGTCTCTGCATGGTCCTCCTCGGCATGAGACTCACGACGCACTGTGGGCTGTGTAGGTGCTTCCAGCGTAGCGTCAGCGGGTCGTTTGGTGCCTCGTGAGGTAGAGTCAGAGGGCATCTGATTCATGAGGGACTCCAGATCACGCTGCATGTCTGAAGTACCATAGGACGACCGCCTGTGACCAGCAGCATCGGACGAGACCTGTCGTGAAGGCTGTGCTTGACCCCCAGTGACTTGAGAGCTGGACGACAATCTCGAACGACCGGGTAATGCCTGCTGTTCTGACGGTAATGCCTGCTGTTCTGACGGTAATGCCAGCTGTTCTGACGGTAATGCCGGCTGTTCTGAGGGTAATGCCTGCTGTTCTGAAGGTAATGCCGGGGGCTGTTCTGATGGTAGTGCCTGTTGTTCGGGAACTGGTGGTAGAGCACGTCTGGCCGGTGTCTTGCTCCGGCTGCGACCTCGTCCACGCGGAGTACCAGGCGGTCTTGAGGTCGGAGTAGGCGGCACAAGCATCATAGGTGGTAGCATAGCCGGAGCTGGCAAGGCAGGAACTGGCTGCCCGGCAGAGTCCAAGACGGGTCGACCTGCTGCATCCAGAACTGGTCGCGGAGCTGGAGAGGCTGCTCGAAGTTGAAAATCCAGCTCAGCCACCACTGCTTGATCGTCAGAGGCACGCGGAACAGAGCCATCAGGTAGGCGAAAGGCGAGGGTGGAGCGCTTCTCATCCAAGTCCTGGTCAGACTTTTTAAGGAGGTCCAAGTCGTCTTGACTTGGTGCCCACCACTCCTCCTCGCCGCCAATAGAACGAACCTGTTCTTTGGAGGCAGAGACCAGTCGGCCCCGGTTGTTGCGGATCCAAAGTGTAGAGCCATCCACCGCAACGATAACACCTTGGCGATACCCTTCCAAAGTCCCTTCGCCGTCGGCGGAGTTCTTGGCCCGGTAATAGGCGACACGTCGGCCTTCGGCAAAAGGGCCACGAGCTGGTCGAGGTTTTCGAAGAAGGGCGGTGCGGAGCGCAGCATCGGATTCAAACTGATGAAAAAGCATCATCGCCTTGGCACGAATCTGTTCCACAAGGCGCAGACGTTCACTATCATCATGAAGTGAGCAGCTTTCGATAGAACCTCCGGAGCTCAGCAAAGCACCGGGGATTTTGTGAGCACGACCGTAAACCCATTGAGCTGGCGATGAACCCGCTCGCCGCATGAGGTTGTTCTTGGCTGCAGCCGACATGACTGCGATGACGTTGAGCTCCTCGGGACCCAGAGGTGCAAACTGAGAGACCAAGCGCTGAACGATGTACCGAATGGCTTGGCCATGCCGTTCCACCTTGCCCATCTGATAGTGAGCATCTGCGGGGGCATAGCGAACCTTGACGGCGCATTGGGCTTGAAGAGTTTCGAAACGGAAGCCCCTGAAACTTCCGTCCGAGTCCAGCACGAGTTCATCTGGAGGACCAAAGAACGAAAACCATCCATTGATCAAGAGACGTATAGTCTCTTCCTCCGTGCGGTCACGCATGTAGCTCAAGACATGATAGCTTGTTGCCTCGTCCACCTGAGACAGATACCCATGTGCTCGACCGGAGATGTCCTTGAGCCACAAGACATCCATATTCAGGCGGTCGTTGAAACGCCTGGCAGTGAACGGCTTGGCTGGGCGAGGTTCTCGAGGAGGTTGGACACGTAAGCAGACTTCACACCTCACCATAGTCGCCGTTGAAGGATGCCCCAGGTTCGTGTGGAGTCGACGCATGACCTGCAACAACCACTTGGGCGCGTTTTTCAGGCCGGGGAAGGAGATATCCCTAAAGCCGGGCTGGTGAGGCTTCATGGTCTCCACATCGTCGACCTTATCCCCAGTCGCAGTCGCATCCACCTTGACATCCGTCTCGGGTAGCTCGTTCGCAGTCTCGTTCAAGCTGGTGACCGGGGCTGTGCCGAAGAAGAACACAGCAACTCGCACAGGGGTCGAGAAACGACCCGCAGACTGAGACAGTATCCGGCTCACAGACTCGGCCTCGATGGATACTGCTCCGTCGTTCAACCACAACGCAGCTCCTCGATGTTGCGCACCTGCTTGCAGAACTTCAAGGGGTAGTCGACGCTGCATCGGGGTCCGACAAATCTGTATGCGGAGGATCTTCCAGGGCACCAGAGTTTTCAGCTGCTCGCCAAACGGTGTATTCGTCGGGATGACGCGGTCCGGCCTGACCTTGTCCTTCAGCTGGGCCTCAGCTTCCTTCAACAGGGGAAGCCAAGATTCTTCGTGGCGATTCACATCCAAGAAGTATGCCGTAAAAGTGTGGGTCTCACCGGGTGGTTGCCAACCGGGAAACGAGATCTCCTCCGGACTGACATCCGCCATCCAGGCCTGCATGCCGTCCTCGTCGGCCCGGTTGTAGCGCTCGTCCCCAGCTTCCTTGAGGGAAGCTTGTAGGCCACGTGTAACAGCCTTGGCGAGAGCCGTAGTGTACACCTGAGATCGCGTAGAGTTGCCACCGAGGATCTTGCCATGGCCATGCACCTCAGGACCAGGGCATTGAAGGCTCAGCTCGGTGAGAAGTAGTGGGAGGTCGGACATCCATGCCGTTGGCTTCTTTAGGAGTTCGTTGTCCTTGCCGCGGAGGTCGTAGCAGCACATATGGCCGACTCGTAAATCCACATATTGGCAATGTCATACAGCCGCATGATCTCAGGGTGCTGCCAGAAGGGTGTGTAGGCGGGGTTCTCCAGCAGGAAGTGACCGCCATAGCCGTCATGGACGGTCCGAATAGTTTTGCACATCTCCCGAATGCTGCTGAGCTGTTTCGCTCGCAGATCCTCCAGCATGAGCTTGTCGTAGTTCAGGCGCTGGATATTTGACCACAAAGTGCACGGAAACTCAAAGATCACCAGGAAGGGCCTGTGCTTGAGAAGCAGTTTCCGGAGGGCCTCGAAGTCCTTCCCGGTGTCCAAGTCATAGCCGTAGACTTTGTCAATGGGCTGAAGAACTCGTAGTGCTTGATGTAGCCCGACTCGAGTGATCTCTGCGTTGCCGCCGTAGATCTCGATCAGATCAGAGCCAAAGACGCGAGCTGAACGTGCCTTTTGAGTTCGCACCTCGTAAGCACGTTGCTCCAGCTTCCAAGCATCCAGCAGGGCCTTCTCATTGCCATGGACGCGCTTCAACGTGCCGGTCTTAGCCTTGAAGGCACCAGCGTCCTCCGACACGAGGGGCTCGTCGGCGGATCCAGTTAGAAGACAATGATCATCCCGAAGTCGAGGTCCTTTTAGAGGACGAAGATCACGAAGTTGCGCTAGAACTCCTTGTCGTAGGCCTCGTTCTCCTCCTCCTCCTCGAAGTCGTGGGGAATGAGGTCGTTCGGATCGAACTGGGAGTTCTCGGAGCCCTCGTACTGGTCGTAGTCGTCTGGCATCGCCCAGTTCGGTTCCACCCATTCCGCATTCTCGGCCGGGGCTGCCGCCTCTGACCAATCCATGTCCTCGTGGTAAACTCCGGTCCCGGTGCTCATGCGGTCGCTCTCCGAGCCATGCCATTGCCTCCGTCGCGGAATAGGAAGGTTCGAACCGGCGGAGGCAGTCTGCATCATGCTCTTGGCTCGGGGCACCATCTTCGGAGCCGCTTTCGGCGCCGTGGTCGACGATCTCGTACGAAGTCGTGGTGGAGGTGGAGGCGCATATGCCGGCGAGGATGTTGAGGAGGGCCGAGAGGAGCCTTGGGACCTTGTTCCCTGAGGTTTGCCGGTTGCGGGCTTTTTGCCTCGAATGGCCTCCATGACGTGCTCGGGGAGGTTGAGTGGTGTCTTGGCCGACGGTGAAGCTTTCGGCGTGGCCAGCACTGAGGTTCCCGACGGCAGGAGCACGTACCTTGTTCCGCAGAGGTCGCAGATGCGAACTCGAATCCCCGCCGCTCCGTAAGCTCTCATCCCGGAGGGGTGGTTGCACGCTTCCGGAGTTCGCATGTACTTCTGGCTTTGCAGAGATTCCTGAGCTGCCATGGCCGCCGTGGTCGACAGCAAAGTGGTCGCCGAGCTTGGAACCAAATGCGTCTGCATCACCCTGTCCTTCAGGGCTGGATGCAACATTGTTGCGGAGTACAGGATCACCATCTGCTTGACGTAGAAGACGAAGTTGAACAGGTTCCTCAACATGTTGCGCCACCGAACTAGCCATGTGGGCGGAGGCATGAGGAACCGGTCGGGCTGGGAGCTCAATCGTAGGCAACGAACTCGAGCTCACAAGGCTGTCGGGATGTATCACGTCCGGCAGCTGTTCAGGAACATGTAAAGGTGGCCATGGGAAGCTTTCCTTTCCCCACTCATCAAGTCTGATTGCCAAGTGACCACACGGGGAAAGCCACAACTGGGAGCTGCACTGCAAAGCCCGAAAGTAAATAGTACCCGCATAAACATCTGGAACAGCACCAAGAGCCTCAAAAGCCTTACGAGACATAAGGGCTGGGGCCTTGGCCTTCACGGAGCTGACACACATAGCCAAAGGTTTGCCTGCGATTGCGGCCGGGTACACATACCTCCCCTGACTTGTCAAAGCGTCGCTAGGCCCAAAGCTGAACTTGCACACGTCGGGGTACTCAAGGCGGCACAGGGGTTCAATCTCGAAACGTTTCTGAGCATGCCAGCCTTCGCCTGCTACCTGCCTTTGGCACCCCGTGTCAGCGATGATGTAAGCTGAACTGTCGCCTTGATAGTACTGCAGGAGGATGCTGGGGCTCGTGGGCACAGAGGTGACGGGTTCGAACTCAGACAAAGACGGTGCCTGGTAGTGCTGTTTTCCGACATCCCATGCGGCATCGTCGTGCTGAGGCTCGTTGGCACTCACCGTCACAGCCCAAATAGAGGCTGCACCTTCTGCATCCAGCACCAAGCCGTCAATCGCAGCGCTGGCCAACTAGGCGTTCTGCACGTTGTAGGAAGGGCAGTCTTTCAGCCAGTGATCCGCAGCGCCGCATCCAAGACAAAGACTTCCCTGAAGTCGCTGCTGCTGCAAGGCATTGTCTACCTTGCCCTTCCCCTTGCCCTTCGGAGGCTGACCTTTCTTGCCCGAGGGCTTGCCAGATGACTTGCCACCAAAGGGAGGTGAACGAGAGGCAGACTTGCCTCCTCGCCCTTTTCCCTTGCTTTTGCCCTTGCCTTTGCCCTTGCTCTTGCCCTTTCCATCGGTCTGGTAAAAGCCGCGGGCCTGGACCAAACCTGCTAGGCGTTTGCTGGTGACCGTCAGGGCCTGCATAAGCTCATGTAGGTCCTCATTCTCATCAAAGTCCCCATCACCAGCCTCGTAGTCGCCCCAAGCAGCGCCATCGTCCTCGTCGTCGACGTGGTCCTCGCCGTCGTAGGTTGCCGGGTCCTCGGCCTCCTCTTCCGCAGGAGCACCTTCTTCGTAGTACGGCACGAAATCATCGGTAGGATGATCACCACCATCAGCTTCCGCAGGAGGGTCCTCGGCTTCCTCCCACGTGGTGTTCCAGTGCCTTCATCGCTTGCCTGAGGGGCCCGAGCGGGTTGAGGCAGTAGTCGTAGATGCCGCCGAGGATGAAGAGGCGCCGCGGCCTCGGCCGCGTCGGTCAGCTCGAAGACGTGGAAGGCCTGTGATCGTCATGCCTGCTGGATACTGTATGCTGATAGCGTTAAGGATAGCCCGCATGTCATACTTGTTCCCAGCAGCCAGCAGTAAAGCCGAAACACTCTTCTCATCCAGCCTCAAGCCGTCAAGGAGCTTGATCACGCGGGCAACCTCGGGGTACTCGGGGACCTGGTTGTCCTTCAGCTTGCGTTCTAGCAGACGAAACCTTCTTACGAAAGCATGTACGCTTTCGCCCTGAAGACGTCCCACATTCTCAAACTCCCGAATCGTGCCCCCTTGGCGGAACATCTCCTTGGCCCCGAAGCTCTTTTCAAGGTCCTGAAGGAGCAGCTGGATGCCGTTCGGCACGTTGTACCGACTGTCCTCCACCTCTTCCATCTCGACCTCGGCCTCGCCCTTGAGGTTCTCAAGAGCCCGAAGAGCTTGCTCGTTCCCCGGGAGATATTCTTTGGTTATCTCGACCCAACGCAGAAGACGGCGCTTGTAGTGGCGATAGCAGTAAGGGTCGGCCTCGATGTCGCCATCAAAGGAGGGTGGTTGTGGTACCGCCCCTGATCGCCATCGCTTCTCAGGAGAGGTCTTGGACCCAGCGCCACCTCTGGATCCACGCTTCCGTCTGGAAGCAGCTGCAGAGAGAGTCTCCACAGAAGAAAGGGCGCCTGAGCCAGGGCTGCCATTCGCAGCTCCGTCTCCAAAGCCAGCCTGTGGTGCGCCAGCGCCGATGTCAGGATAATGGCCTTGAGCTTGCGCATTGCTCAAAAGGTCGTCATCGAAGTACATCTTCGCTTATTCCAGCAGTCCAAACGCCACCAGAAGTCGCTACCAATGCAAATCTTACACCGTAGCCGGAGC